CGCGCCCCCCATTTTGTGACCGAGGGGCCGGCCGCCATTAGGGGTCTCCGGGGGGCGGCGCGGGGCCTTCCCGCCGCCCGAGCGGCCGTCGTGGGCGCGGGCCCCACCGCGAGGGCCGCGGCGAGAAGCGCCGGGGCGGGCAGCGCGCCCCTCGCCCGGGTTTCGGTTCCGGGCTGGCGCCGCGCCGTCTTTGTTTTGCTTTGTTTTTGTTCCCGTGACGAGGCAGGGGCTGCTCGGGGTGGCTTTGGGGCTGTTAATTTGTGCTGCGTGGGCATCCCTAAGGAAACGGGTGTGAAGGGGAACCGTAAAGCTGATACCAGGGAAACCAGGCCCGTGTTCAGAGAGCTCCGCAGGCAGCTGTTTTCTTTTCCCCAGACACATTTAATCGGGAGTACGGTAGTGATCTGCAGAGCAGCAGGGAGCAAGGCTGCTGTGTCCTGCGCTCCGGGGATTTTCTCTCACCCTGGTGCCGTTTGCTCCCGGTGTTTATCCGTCTGCGGAGGTGATCCCGGCCCCCCGGGCTGGCSCCGCAGGGATGCTGCCCCTCTCCCCGTTTGTGGGCAGTGGCGAGTGCTGTACCAAATCAGACCCACTGCACTGCTTCAGTGACTATCCAGGCATGTGCTTCCTGGTAATTCAGATGTCAAGCAGTGCAAGTGGAACAGTCAAAATGCAAACAAGCATCTGGGGATCATATTATATGCGAGGGATCCATCCCTGTCACAGAAAATACCCGGTGTTCAGTTAGTGTAGGGTGTTTCCATATCAGTTGCTGTTCAGTTGTCCCCTTTTGCACCTAGAATCAGTGAGGAGCTCGCAGGGGCCAGTTGGGATCAGAAGCCACTCGGAGTTTTCCTCTTTGCAGGCTCTGCCCTTGCAGCTTGGCAGTCAGCTAGCCCTGAAGGGAGCCATATAAATGAGCAGTGTTTTTGTTTTGTGCTGCATGGGGAGGTAACCAGTGCTCGCCCCTCCAAAGACAAGGCAGCTGTCAAGAGAAAAGTTTTTCGGAGAAAATGTTTCCGTTCTCCCTCACATTTATTTTGGCCGGAAAATGAGGATTCTTTGTACTTAYATAGATATATCAAATGATAGCTTGGAATGACCCTCCCAGTGAAGGTGAGGGCTTGGAAATCCAATTTTTCGTACATGAGAGTTTGTTGGCTACAGCTGTGCTCTGTGAAAAATGTTGGGGKTTTTTTTGTTTGTTTGTTTTTAAAAATGGCCCTACGCTGCTTGAGCCTTAACCCTTCGTTTATGGTGATGTTGAGTGACACTTGACGTTGAAGGTGCTGTGCTGCTTTTGTCGTCGTTTTGTTGGAGTGGGGTTTTTTTTCTTACAATTATGTCTTCTGCAATTTGTTCCCGAAGGGCTCCCTCACCCACCAAGCGCAAGGATAGGTCTGAAGACAAATCCAAGGACCGATCCAAAGATAAATCGGGCACCAAGGAGTCGAGCGAGAAGGATCGTGGTCGGGACAAGACCCGCAAGCGACGCAGTGCTTCCAGTGGGAGCAGCAGTACCAGGTAGTTACCTTTTCCTTGGTGTTTCTCAGTAATTTTGTGGGCAGTAGCAAATCACAGTATTTGCAGAAGCCACCAACCTGATTCCTGGTCCATATTCACCGTGTCATGGATTTGCTCAGATTCTGCACTGAGTTGGTTACAGTGCCATTCTTTAACTTAAAGAGGGTTTATTTTTGTGAGGTATGAACATCCTTTGGCTGAACTAGTGAGCCATGAGTGTTCGCTCTTTTAATTCACAATTCCTTTCTCTGTAATTATCAGAAGTTTTTTTCTGGCTGTTTTTCGTGGTGCTCCACTCATGCTTTTTCCCATTACAGATCCCGTTCCAGCTCAACTTCCAGTTCAGGATCCAGTTCCAGCACTGGTTCCAGCAGTGGTTCTAGTTCCTCTTCTGCTTCAAGCCGGTCTGGGAGCTCTAGCACCTCTCGCAGCTCCAGCTCCAGCAGCTCCTCTGGATCCCCAAGTCCCTCTCGACGGAGACATGACAACAGGAGACGCTCCCGCTCCAAGTGAGTTTGATTTGTCTTCTGACAATCACCAGATAGGAGGTTAATTTCCGTACAGAACAAGATCGGAGCAGAAGTCTCTTGGGAGACTTGGCTTTCCCTGTGGCATAGAGACCTGAATTTTGTTAGAATGGGGTGCGCCTTATAGATACAACTGAAGCATCTGCTCCATAGGAAGGGAGATCAAAGATGTTTTTTTAAGGATGGTTGCTACTTTTTGTGTTTTGTGCAATATTTGAGCACCAGGAAGATAAATGGGTGCTAGGTGAGTGTAAAACTTTGTATGTCCTGTGTAATTTAGAGCCAAAACAACAGGAATTAGAGTTAAAATGATTTGTGTGAATGTGTGTATTATACATGTGTCTAGTGTGGAAGAAATCTAAGGAAGCATATTTTGAAAGGGGAGAAATGAAAATTAATTCCCCTACAGTTCCCATAGTATTTTTCTTTGAGTAATTGTGTGAATAAGGTGCTTAAGGCTGATAAAATCTACTGAGGTATTACAATCTACTATGTTTTGAGCGTATCCCTCAGATTGTGGACACTAAAAATGCGAAGAAATAAATACAAATCTTCTACACAGTGGATTAAAAATCTTTTTGTAATATAAATTTTAAAACTATAAAGAAATTGAAGTGTGCAGCTACTTAAATAGTTACACGCATGTGACATTTTTAGGCCTTTCTAGTTAACAGAAAAGGCAGAACTCTAATCCCTGGATCTRTAAGTTCCCTGGTTGGGGTGTGTTTCATGCTCTTGTCTGCGTTTTGCTTCTTTTGTTGTAAATCCAAAGGATGTTAGTAGTAATTTTGTGACTGTATCCAGCAACTTTGAGGAAATGTCTTTCAAATTTCCACATTTATTACCCTATTTGTGGTTAAAAACTCACAAAAACAAGATTTTCTAAAATTCCAAGAGTTTCTAAGGCAAGAGGAGAAAAAACAGATGTTAATTGTGAGATATTGCTATTTGGAAACCGCCCCTCTGTTACTTTTGGAACATGTAACTTGTGTCATCTGAAAGAAAAATGGTGTCCCCACTCCCGTCTTATAAGCAAGAAATGCTGCTTTTTTATTATGTGGTTGCGAYTGGCTTGTAGACAATGTTTTGTGTTGTCAAAATCAGATCCAAGGCACCCAAGAGAGATGAGAAGGAGCGGAAGAGGCGGAGCCCCTCGCCCAGACCTACRAAGGTGCATGTTGGAAGACTCACCAGGAACGTGACCAAGGTAAGGGCACATCCACCACGTCACCTTCCATAGCCTTGGGAGGGAGCCTGAGTGTGCCTGTTTGTGAGCTGAGAGGTTCTGTTTGTTTTAGGGGATTTTTTTTTCCTTTTATGTCCTCAAAAATCTTTTTGTTACTGGAGTGTTGATAAGATTTTGATGTTGGAAGTTCTTGTTTTGTGGTGAAATAGATGAGTGAGTGCAACTCTTGTAGAGTTACCATGAGCTGGATAAAATGCAAGTTTTGAGGCTATGCAGTACAAAATGGCCTGTCTGCTTTATCAGTATTCCAGACTTAGGCCACCTTTTCAGTGTGCTGAAGTATCTGAACAGATGGTATAAAGAAGATGGAGTCAGATTCTTCTCAGTGGTGCCCAGTGACAGGGTGAGAGACAACAAGGCATAAACCAGAACGCAGGAAGGTCTGTCTGAACACTGCTGGGATGTGAAGGTTCCTGAGCACTAGAGCAGCTTGCRCAGAGGGGTTGTGGTGTCCCCATCTCTGGAGATGTCCAGAAACCTGCCCAGACAGCTTTTGAGTTACGTGCTCTAGGTGACCCTGCTTGACRAGTGGGGTTGGACTAGAAGGTCTTCAAAGGTCCCTCCCAATATCAGCTGTTCTGTGATACAACTGAAAGGAGGTGTTAAAGACATCTGGAAGTCATGATTAATGGATTTGAAGAGACCTGGGCTGACGTGGGTTGTGTTTCCTGGAATGTAGTTTGAAGGTCCCCATGGAAAGAAAAAGGCTTAGGATGTTCAAAAATTAATGTTKTTATACAGTATTGAGAAAATGCTGCTTTAGCAATGAGCACTTGATGAAAGCTGTCTTTCAAAGTCCCAAGAGGTTTTTGATTTTCTGGATTTTTACACTGGATAGATCTTCYGATTTAGCCTGTTTGGTCACACAAGCAGTGAAACTGTTAGACTTTAAGGTGTGGAACTACATGAGGCAGCAGTAGAGAAAGCAGCAGCAATCCAGCCTCCTGTCCGTATCTAGTCAGTAAAATCCATCTGTCTCTGATGGTAGCATTGGTTTAAGGCTRATTTAGTATGGTGTATCTCCTTAAGACTTGCTCTTTCTCTGCAGGATCACATCATGGAAATTTTTTCCACATATGGAAAGATTAAAATGATCGACATGCCAGTCGACAGGCTAAATCCGCATCTCTCTAAAGGTTATGCCTATGTGGAGTTTGAGAACCCTGATGATGCCGAGAAAGCCCTGAAACACATGGATGGGGGTAGGTATTGGGTGCTGCAGGGATGCTGGAGGCTTTAAAAGGTATTTGGAACTCACTGAAAATGAGTTGGTGGGGCAAGTTCTCAGTAACTGAAATCCATTTAATGAGAGGGCTACTAAAACTGAGTTTTCTGAAACAGGACTGTAGGCTGATTCGTACTGCGTTTGCTTGTGACAAAGTRGTGAGTCGCGCAGCAGATGTGAATACTAGTGATGGAAAGTGTCGTCTCTCTGTGTGTCTGTGATTCTCTGCACAGGTCAGATTGATGGTCAGGAGATCACTGCCACCGCTGTTCTGGCGCCGCGGCCTAGACCCCCTCCCAGGCGCTTTAGCCCACCCAGGAGGATGCTGCCCCCGCCACCCATGTGGCGTAGGTCGCCTCCTCGCATGAGGAGAAGGTGAGACCTGTGACAACTCGCGTTTCCTTCTCAGTGTAACAGCATGTCATCACTGAAAAGACTCAGTCCGGGGACCGTTTCGCCCTGTTGGACTTCGCTTCCCAAACAACAGTAACACCTCTCAGGTGTCGGATGAACCTGCATTGGGCTTCTTATCTCCTTAGTGCAGGTGACCTGCTCTGACAAARTGACCTTGGGCTCATTCCTTTGCTTGAGTTAAAACAGAAGATTCTTGTCTGTTCTTTGGACTTGAAAGATTCTTTCCACTTCTTGAGTAGAGAGCGTTGCCAGAATGAATACTCCTGCTATGGTAGTCGATGCTTGGATTGTGTTTCCTCCTCCATGTATTTCAGTGAAGCTTATTTATAGTACTTTTCTTCCAAAACGATATTGCAGGAGGTGACAGACTTCTGGAACTCCTAAGAGGATCTTTTTCCTTCCTTCTCTGCCAGGTCCCGATCTCCTCGGCGCAGATCCCCTGTTCGCCGGCGATCGAGATCCAGATCTCCTGGACGAAGGCGCCACCGCAGCCGCTCCAGCTCAAACTCTTCACGATAAAGCAAAAAGACTGGACAGCTTTTTATTTTTTAACTTAAATCCCACAAAACTATTGTACCTTTTTTTACAATGGGTCTGGGTGAGGAGGAGTGAGAGGTAGATTCCTGGCAGTGAAGGCAACCTAAGAGAAGAGAGCACAGTTTCTAGTCRGTAAATAGATAACCTTTGCTGTGGGGCTTCCAGTTTCCTGGCATTTAATTGAAATTATTTAGAGATGGCTTAGATTTAAAGGCTGCAAATGTAACATCTCTTCCAGCTAAATGGAAGGAAAGTTGTCATTGCTTTTCGTTCAGCAGGCTGCTCCATGATGATTTCTAGATGCTTAGCGTGCTGTGCAGTCACACGTGTGACTGTCAAGGCATTTGGGCATCCCTGCAGTGTGGGACAGAGCAGCATTAGCTCAGTCTCTAGGTGCCAGCACGGGATCCTGAGAACAGCTGGAGATGAGATTGAAAAACCCATTTTAAACTAAAGTAGCCACTGTTTTGTTCCAGTTCATATCAGCTTAGTGGCTGCCTAGCGTTGCAGCCGAAGCCCCATAAGGGACCCGCAAACCCACCGACGGGCAGGAGCCTCCGCTCCTGCCCACCAGCCTTGGAAAGGAAGCGGGGAGCGCCCGCGGGTGCTGCTTCCCGCCGCCCTTCCTGCGGGCTCCTGCCCTAGGGCTCCAACCCCTCCAGCCCCGCTGTGAATCGGTGCAAGTGCTTCTGCTTTCACCCGTCTGCTCTGCGCTTCCCCCGGCAGCGGCAAGGCCGCGAGGGCGGCTGCAGGCCCCCTCGCTGCCTCCTGTACAGACAGCGTGATACGCTTGGTTTGGGTTCTT